CGGGGGCAGCCAGAGCCCTGGCGGGGCTGGGAGTCTCCCGGCAGAGGGGGAACCCGCCGCCGGAGCCGTGCGCTCGGCAGGGAGACCCTTCGGGACGGGTCGGTGCGTGGGCGAGGACGGATCCGTGGGGATGAAACGGCTGAAGATGCTGTGCTGTGCTGTGCTGCCCCTTAGGGAGGGAGAGCCACTGCATGAGGGGCTTTAACATGTCCCAGTGTGAGCAACCGGGGGAGGCTGGAAGGAGGGAGACCGTCCAGGGGAATAGACGTGAATTTCCCTCTCTGGTTACGTCTTGTGATTAAGCTGAGGAGGTGTGAAAAGGATGGACAGCGAGTCTGCCAACAGCCGTCCGCCTCCAGAGGTGTTCGGTAAATCAGGGACAGCTTTGCTGGCGGCTGGCTTTCACGCTCGGGCATCCTGGCTCTCAGACACTTGTGCTGCAGTAGGGCCACACACCAGTAACTGTGTAGATCTGGTGCCTCGGGGTCAGGAAAGAACTTGCAGCCCCTCAGCTGCAGGCAAGAAGGGACTTCTGCTGTAAATAGGCAATGTGGTGTCTCCAGTGTCTTGTAAAACATCTGACTTCAAGGCATCCCATCCCCACAGCTGTGACAAATCTGAGGTGGTCAGATACCTCATGAAGTGCTTTATCTCCCCTGAACACTCTCCACAGCTGTGCAAAAGTAGCAGAGCATGCTTCTGCTGATGTTTTGCCAATTGTCTTGGCAACTGGTGGCACAACAGCCTGAGAGATGGAGAAATGCCTTTTAGTGATAGCCAGGAGAGTTGTCTGGTGTGAAACCAAGCAGTAGGTAAGACACTGAAACCCCAAGCAGCCTGAGAAAATAAGTCAGGCACACTTGTCTCACTTCTTCCTGAGGAGCGGAAGCTCTTGGTGAAAGCAGTAGCCCATCGAGATCTCGGGGAGGGGGCCAAGATGGTTAAGGTGCCTGCTGCCTTAATGGGACCATTGTGCCTGTCTGTATTTATTCTGCAGAGCACACACAGTCGCAGAGGAACGAGAAGATGCAATGTTCAAACCACGATGAAACGCATATGCTTGTTCTCTCCCCTGATGGGGAACTTTCTGAACACTGGGCTAAAGCTTCAGCCAGCTGCTCTAGGATAAGGTAAGCAGCTTTCGCAGCGTGGAGGTATGGATGGCAACAGAGAAGGTGGCTCACTTTTCCTAAAGGTAACATCCGAGAGACTGAGGCATGTTGTAGAGGGGGAACTGGAACACTTCTTTTGTTACCCAGCAAGAACTGCACTGATTTTGAGGATAATACCAAGATCTGAGCTGCTTGGGATGCACATGAGACAGGTTTCTCTCAAACTTAGTAAGGACCTTGCTATCTTCTTGTTAAGCTGTGAGGGTAACCGTCATCTGGAAATGGCACAGCAGTTTGTGGTGGGATTTTCTTTTAACTTGCCCAGGGTTGAGCCTGATTCTCTTCCAGTTTCCCATGGTGCAAACCACAATCAAATCAGTTAGCCCAGCTGCAGTAAGCTAGCATAAGCGCAGGGTGAATCAACTTACAGGTGACCTATATTTTTCCAAGTAATTCCCGCTAAATGTGCTGGAACTTGGTGAGCAGAGGATCTTCTTCCTTACTTTGTGTCATGGCACAGCATCTATCTATTTTGATTTGGTTTTGATTTTGTTTTTCCTTATTTTTGCAGGCTGGTGAAAGAACTAGGAAACCAAAATATTGTACAAATAGCATGTGGGGACAAGCATGCCATGGCGCTCTGCAAAGGTAACCTCTTTCAAGCACAATTCTCCTCCAAATGGGAATCACATTATGGCAGGCTTGCTCTCAGAAGGGGGCGTTTGAACTCCTTCCAGTAGCTGGTGACACCACTAGAAAGGTGACACCATTAGAAAGTAACAAACGATGGGTGGGGGACACAAAGTGTGCTGGTTATCAGCTCTGCCCTTTCCTCCCAAGGCCCAGAGACCTGCAGCTCTGTCTCTCTCCAGTTCCTTAGCACTACCCTTCCGCAAAGGTGTGTTGCGGTGAGCAGACGTGGCTGCCCCACTCTGCAGTCACCAGACCTGATCACTCTTAAGTTGGAGCACCTCTCTGGTTGGGAACTTCTTGCAAGTACAGCTTTAGAGGTGGGAACACCCTGCCTTTATTCTTGCTGCGCGGAGTCACACGGGCAGCACGGGACTGCCTCAAAGGGGTCAGAAGCAAACAGGGAGATTTGGTTGCTGCTGATGGTCTCACCTTGCAGCTAGGTCCCTGAAAACAGCACCGATTTTCACTCCCACTCCCAAAGTGCAAAGACTCAAGGGAAGCAGTGAGGCTGAGCTCTTTTCTTCTGTTTTGTGCGTGAAGGAGGTGAGCTCTTCACCTGGGGCAAGAACACCCATGGTCAGCTTGGAGTGGGGAGCGAAGCCACGCTCATGCCCCAACCGCAGCTGGTGGAAAGACTAAAGGGCATCTCACTTGCTCAAATTGCTGCTGGAGGAGCTCACAGCGCTGTCGTGTCACTCTCTGGAGCTGTGTACTCCTGGGGAAAGAATGATTTTGGACAGCTGGGACTTGGAGACACAGAAGGTAAGGAAGGACAGCAGCAGAAAGGTGTTTTCCTGGTCAGTGAGCTTACTGCAGACACAGGATTGGATCTTCAGGACTGTCAAGGTCCATTGGAGCAGCAGTGGACAGTAAAGTCTTTTGAAGAAAGTATATCTGGCTATGTTCTTTGTTTAATGACCAGGAAAGGTATGCAGGGACAAGGGATTTAGGGGTTGTATTTCTACAGTGAACTTCCAATCATTTTACGTGGCCAACTGGATAGCGTGGACTCTTAAAACCATATGTCTCAGAGGTCTCTTCCCACTCCCATGCTCTCTCCAGGCAGTATTCCATGAAGGAAATTAATTTTATACATCTTTGCCTTTGTTCATTCTCTGTAAACACAAGGTGAGAGAAGAGTTTAAATCACCCATTGTCTTCAAACATAGAAAGCTAGAGCAGGGTTGCCATAGCTAGACAGAACCCAAAATCAGCGGGATCTGAATCAGTCCATACCCTCGAGAGCCAGATATTTTGAAGCCAAGTACATTTCGGCAAGCAGATGTGAAAGTGCTGTGTTTAGTTTCAGATCAAATGTAAATGAAAACAAAATACTATGAAAAAGACAGAACATTATGAGAAAGAGTATGTCATAGCGGAGGGTAGAAAACAACTCAAAACCAAGTCGTAAATACATACATTTCTGTAAGAGAGGGCTGAAAAGCACTACCCCCCACCCCCCATTTTCCAAATCTTTCTTTGTGTGAGACTCCCCAGTACAGTTTCACTTCAGCAGTGCTATCTTCTTTCCAGACAGGGACCGCCCGTCATACATTAGAGCATTAGAGCACTGGAAGACTGTATTTATCTCATGTGGTGCGGATCATACTGCAGTTCTCTCCAAGGTGAGTCTGAAATGGAAAGTCAGCGTCTGAGACCTCACCCTGGGAGAAAAGATACACTGCTAAAAGTCATCACGGAGAAGTTGGGGTGGCAATGCCTGCTTCCATCCCAGTCTGAAGATGATTCCCAAGGGATGCTAACTAAGCTATTGGGAAAACTTGCCTGGATTCCAGTCACCTGCATGCAAACTTTTGCAGGGAGATGATGAATGGGAATCCTGGGGCAAAGAGGTGCAGCTCAACTCTCAGTATTTTTGCAAATATTATCTTTTTTTGTAGTATATTGGGGACTTCAGAAAATGTGAACGATAGCTAATTCACTAGGGTTTATTCATACAAGTAAAACTTCTAAACAACAGGCAATTCTCAGGAGTTAAGTTGCTTTTCTCAGGAGTTAAATGATTTAGACATTAGACAATATAAGATTAGGCTTGATGCAAAGTGAACTCTACCTATGTTTGAATTGGGGATGTTTTAAATCAAGTCCCGCATAACATACTGTGTCTTGCTGGCTTTCGCTCTTGGTGGTGACCATTTGAATGCTGTTAATAGTGCGGTGATCCTGTTGTTTGCTTCTTCTTCTTCAAGGAGGGGTTGGTGTGCACCTTTGGAGCTGGAGGGGCTGGCCAGCTTGGTCACAACTCCACCCAGAATGAACTCACACCTCGCGTGGTGGCCGAGCTGTGGGGAGCAAGAGTTTCGCAGGTTGCCTGCGGCAGGTAGGAAATTACCAATAACATGCCTTCTAAGGTCGAGGTCTTAGGGGAATCACTGAAGAACAGCAGGGAGGGGAGTCACCAAGATGTTCAAATCCCTGTATCCCAGTAGGTCAGCGCTATCAGAGTATCGCCCACTCTTCAAATGTAAGCCACCCTCCTGCCACAGCCCCAGTGAAAGCAGAACCCTCAGCCTGTGCTGAGCAGAGGGAGAGGGCTGCAAAAAAAAATATGCTGGAAGCCCTTGGGTTTTTTGCTCTTTTAAGAAATGAAGGATGTACTGGGTTCCAAAGGGCAAAAGACTGTCAAAAGCCTGCATTGGGAAAGTCACTGAATTCCCATCCACTTTGACAAACTGGTGGGTCCTTAGAAAGAACCTCCCCAACTTCATTCTGTCTTTCTGGAATGGGTCCAGAAAAAGTCTCAGTCAGCTTTCTTGGGCTTTGTGTCAGGCTCAGCAGCATAGAAGCTGCACTTCTATGGAAGGGCACGAAGCCAGCAAGGCATAACACTTTATTTTTATGTAATTTATGTGGAACCAGTGTAAATCACAAACATTAGAGGATAGTATAGGAAATTTGAGTCCATATGTTTCTTTATTGCTGAATGTTTATGCAAGGAAAGGTCCTAAGGCTTTGGTTAAAGGGATTCTTTAGCTGGGCTGTCAGGGCTTTTAAAGACAAGCCTCAGCTATCCACTCTGAAAATGTATCTGTACATTCTATTCTGACTAGCCCGGTGGCATTAGCTTATTATGACCATTTTTCTTTTTCTGAACAGACAGCACACCCTGGTCTATGTCCCCTCCTTGGACAAAGTCTATTCGTTTGGTTCTGGTGAAGGACAGCTGGGAGATCAGCCTAATCAGTTGATACCACTTCCCATCAATTGTCCAGCAAATATTGGAAAATCCTTTCAGGGTAATGACCATTGCACAATGTACAATGACATTGTACAGTCTGTGTTTGTTTCTTCCAGGGAGTTGTTTGCTTTTGTGATTTCACGTTTACACTGAGAGGGTAACATTATGTCTCATGCATGCTTGGTCATCCCAACAGATTCTACAATGGATAATTCCATTTGCTGCTTGATTTATCATCATGGGTAATGGCCACATAGAATCAAATTTTAGACAGACAGCTACTACCTGAGGAATTTTTTTTACTGTTCCACATCTGTGCACTGAACTCTCTGAAGATAATAACTGTCTCTTCAAATGTTCTTTTGAAAATCTTTTTACTCTTTCACAGAAAACAACACATCACAGAAGGCGACTGAAGTTATTGCAGGAGGAAGCCAAAGTATTGTCCTTTGCAAGAACAAGGTATGTGCCTATTTGATTATGGCTTCTAATTTTACCATAGTTCACATTACTGCTGGAAACATCTGGATTTTCCATCCTACTTTTAGCACTCCATGTTCATGTATGTCTCCTGCAGTTCTTTCCATGCCTACCCAGAAACTGACTTGCATTGCGATTATATATCTGTTCTGTGGTTAATACATCTGGATCGTGCTGGGTGACCGTTAATTTGTTCATACTTAGGCTGAAATCTTCTCTTAATGATTGGCTTAAAAAAAAGAATCCCGTCTGCTAGTCCTGTGATCTTGTCAGTATTTTCATGTATTTCATACAGAATTCCTGTTTGAATGGTATTGCCACTCTAAGGGATGAAGATGTGGATGCGTGGATTTCTAATTCCAGTTTGCAACGCTGGGAGAGAGTAAAAAAGTAAGTCAGAAACCTGATGGTTTGGGTTTTTTTTCCCTGATACATGACTTTCTCTAAAAATTATTATTTTTTGAAAACTATTGTAGGAACTGATGTTCAAGAATTTAGCTGAGACAGAATCTTGAACTGGCACTTCTTACTTAGTTTTTGCATAGGAAAAAGATTTGTTAATAAGCAACAGCTCTTTGATACCCCTTTTGCAGGAACAGAGCAGACGTACTGCCTGGCTTTGGAAGCCTGTCCTCTTCCACAGAATGGTTGTTGACGAAGAGCTGACAGGTTAAATCAGTGAAATATTCAGTCTGCAGACCGAGGCCTTGTGCAAAAATCATAATTCAGAGTACCCAAACTGGAACGTTTTGTGTGCATCAGCATTTAAAAATTAGTGATCCCTTCTTTAGTTACTGATTTTCAAAAGCAGTAGGTATATACCACTGTGGGAAGCCATACCCTTATGGCTGAGAATCACGATTACGTAGTCTTTTTTCAGATCTTAATGGGAGGTTATTTTCTTTGGGAAAGTCTGATTCCAGCTGCTGATTTTGAGCATTTAAAACTCTTAGCTAATTTGGATCTAAGTGTTTCCCTGACCACCTTCCATATGATCCAAACCATACTGAAAGTGATTGTTGAGAGGGTGAGAGAGAGAGGGTTCTTCCTAGATCTCAATAGGAAGGGCCTGACAGCAAATTGCTTGATAAAATAACTGCTTTAATAAGAATGGAACCAGGAATACAGGTAGTGAGGAAGTCTAATGTCCCTTCAGATGCTGGGACCCCAGCTTTGGTGCAGCAGCAAATGGATACCCTGATGGATTTTCCCTCAGTGTGCTACTAAGATCCCACCTGTGGAGGGGTTCCTCCTCCCTCCCATGCCACAGTGCCTTTTATTGTTCGTAACAAACAAAAGCAGATAACGTCCCAACCTGTCAGGAGAAAATATCTCCATCATAACACCCAGCAGCACGCAGCACGGGCTGGCATGGGACGCTAGAGCAGGTTCCCTCACAAGGCCCATGAGAGCAGAGGTGGCTTGCTGAAGACCACTAACACGTCATCTTCTGCAACAGTCTCAATAAAGTGGTGCTAAGAAAAGTTTTCTGTGGTCAGGTGCAGACCCACTTGTACACATAGTTTTTGTCCTTTCAGAATTAAAAACCTGAAGTTGCTCCTTACGTTGAAAGGATTGACTTTGGTTTATTTTTTACTATCAGGAATATCAGAGTGATCTTTTCATCCGAGGCTTGCATCAACGGAAGCTTCCTGGAGAAAAGGTAGTGTGTGCTGACACGGATGTAACAGAATATATTGGCTGCATGTAAACTGACCAGAAAGTGTTATTTTAGGCCATGTACATAGAGAATCACAGAAGATTAGTTATAGCTGAATTTGCAAGAAGCAAGTGTATTTTTCAAAGTCCAAGCTAAAATTAAGTTTTTTGTCCCCCAGTCCTACTGAAATTTGCTACAGAAGCTCACATCCTAGCAGATTATCCCACAGTGACACTTGATGGATGATGATAATTCCTTTAGGCAATACTGCAGCTCCCAAAGGATCCATAATAGCTCCTCCCGGCACTGAAGTGCGAGTCATTTTAGGGTGAAATACAGGAAGCCTACCATTAACAGTGCACAGCTACACAAGGCAGGAAGGACAGAGTATTAATCAAACCATACCACAGTGAGAATATCTTCTTAGAACAGATGAAATTATACCCACTGGGGTCAGAGCTGAACTCTCCAAGTATTTTCTGATGTTAGGATGCTTCCCTATTCAGTCAGTAACAAAACCCAGCTTCTCACATCATTTGGTGTTCTTTTTTTTTACCTTTGTGATAGAGACAAACATTTCAAAACTTCCAAGGAATTTTCGGGAGTAGACTTGTCAGAAGTGCAACGTTTTTATGAGAAGATCAACCAGAAGCCAAAAGTCTTCGAAGAGGTAAGGATTCAATGTAAGGATTCCCACTATCCAGATACTGAGGAGTTCTGGATTTGTGCATGAAACCTGGGAATTTCGTGCCAACCTAATTCATAGATGATTTTGGCAAAACATAATTGCATTTTTAACCCTTGTGTCTCTTTTTTTTTTTCTTTTTTTTTTTTTTCTCTCCCCTCTGAAGGTGCAAAAAGAGATTGAGGAGTTACTGCCATCATTGTCTTCCTCTCCCATCTCACCAGAAAATTTCAGAGTCTACTTGATCCTGCCTTTCCTTCTGCGGGGAGAGGATGGCCGCTCTTTCAATTCTCTCGGGCTGCTAGCACAAGCCATCATGAACCTCCAGTCAACGGACCTGCAAACTCTTGGTAGGGTTTTATGAAGATAGAACAGAATGATTTAAATGGATATTTTTGGCTGCAGAGTGAGAGTTAGTATTGCTGATGTAATTTGTTACAGAGTTCAGCCTGTAAGAAATGCTTTCAGTAGACATAGAAACATGGGGACTATGCAGCAAGACACAAGAAAAAAAATATCTGAGTCTGAGGTCTACTAATTTCTGTAGTGCAAAACTAAGGATTTTTTTGGTTTGGTTAAGTTGATAAAAAGAGAAAATGCAGCTTCATCCAGAAATTGCAGTTATTTGCATGTTGCCTGTGATGGATACTTCACTAGCTGTTTCCTTTACAGAATGCCTGTGGTCAAATCTAGAAACAGCCTTCTTCAAAAAGCTGGTCATTCTATACCAGAGGGTTTCCCAGAGAAACCTGTCTCAATTTATCATGGAAGTCAGAGGCAACCAAAGACAACCCTGCGACCTGCATCCACTTGAAACCGCGACTCTGCAAATACTGCAGATTCTTTACCAGGTGAGAAAGTGTTTGGATCGTGATTAGATAGGACGTACCAGTATGAATTAGAGTATTTTAATCTTTTTTACTCCTTGAATTCTCTGCTTTTCCTTCTTACAAGGGAACACGGGGCCTCGTCATTTGACATTGCTTCAGGAATCTCTTTGGCTCCGCACCAGGATAGCTTTGAAGGAATCCCCCTCTCGAGTTGTGCCTGGCTGACCCTCTATAGAAATGAAGAGTCGAAGCATGTTATAGCCCCTGGCAGGGGGAGGGATGCTTTCGGGGGGGTGAGGACTGCATGCATTGATGCGTACAGAGCTACGGATGTGGTGTCCGTTGTGTAGCACGCCCATTCCCCTTTCTGCTGGTGAGATCGCTCACCCCAGTATCATGGCATTTAAAAGACGACCCACCTGCTTGGCACATGGTGGCTGCCATGGTAACACTGCATGGTGCTTTAAGAGCCTGTTACCTGAGAAATGTTCTGGGGCGACAGTTAGAGCATCTTTAGCTGCATATGAACAAGGGAAAGAAAGGGAGCAGTAACTATATTCTTCTTGATAACCATCCTTTCTCCTGCTATGATGTTCAACGTTCAGGAAAGTCAGGAGCTCAAGCATGCACTTTGCATGAATCAGAGAGAGTTGTTAAATTTTGTTCAGAATTGAATACCCTTTTGGCTGAGAATGCAGATTTGGGCCTCGAAGTTTAGACTCTTGGATCCTTAGTTATCCAGATAAATAAACTCAAAAGTGCGGCAGGGCTGCTCCACCGTAAGTTATTACATTTGGAGCTTTACATGTTCACTGTCTCCCCAAAAGTCATATCTTTGCCAGGCAGCAATTATGAACACGAATAGGGAACTTCAGGTTCTCCTGCAACATGAAAAACACTCAAAGCAAAACATATCTTTCCTGATGGAGTCCTGTTAAGGGGCCTTCACTGTAAATGAAAATTGCTTTCCTGCTAGTTTATACATGGCTTTCTGAGACTTCTCACTGTTGAGTGCTGTGCTACTTGTAGCGTTTCTATCCTTCCACATCTGTGCAGGGTCTCCAAGCTCTTTCTTCAGAGCGCCCTGTTACTCCTTAGTGCTGTCCGGCCACGCAGACGCGTAGCTTGCCAGTGCTGCTGGCACCTCATGTCATACTGCGTCTATCAATGCAGGTGAACTCCAGGACAGGTTTCAGAGTACAAGAAAAAAACTTCTACGTGACTCAAGTGAAAGAGATTATTGGATGGTGTGCATTCTTTAATCTAAAAGATGTAAGTATAAAATCTTACCAACAGTGCAAAACAACTTTTCTTTTTTTTCCTCTTTTATTTAAATGAGTCGATATATATGGAAGTCAACTCTAGCCCCGTACATCTCAAAGACGATGCATTTTCCCTAGTCCTTCAGCTCTTGTAAATTATACAAGCCATTTACCATCCCGGTATATTAGCAGCTACAATAGTGCCTTTCCTGAGATGACCCCCTGGTTCTGAGACTTGGGGCTGTCCTCCAGCATCTTAAGTGACTCTATTTGCTTTGAACTGTTGACCAGTGTGAAATAGCACCAGGAGGGATGGTTGCTATACTTCATGTTACTCTGTATTTCACTATGTTTAATTAACAGAAATATTGTGAGGTCCCTTTAAACTTTTATGTAGCAACCCTATTGAACATTTCAATTTACTTACATCTAAAAACAAAGCTGTCATAATAAAAAATAATCTGTGAAATGGTTCATTTCGTGATGACACGGAGGCATGAAAATTAGCTACCAAATGCAATCGGTGTCACAGGAAACAGCATGAAATGGAAATGTGGATAGTAGGGGCTTCCTTTGGCAAAAAATGCAGTTTTCGGGCAACTTGGCTGGAATCTGCAGGGCAACTGCCTAGTTCTTTCATAAGCTTTCACTTGCTAATGTACCAATTTTGTACCAATTTTGTACCAATTAATCAGAGCGGAGGAGGAGGCTTGAGAAACAGTATAGAATCAAAAGCCCAATAGGACATTACCTGAAGTTGCTGCCTTATCGTACTGGAGGTGTAACACTTCGAATTAGATTATTTTGTATACTAGTATCTACTTTTGATATTACAGATAATAAACCCAACAATTTTTAACAACAATGTACCATAACCTGGGTATCCAGGGCATTTTTACTATGTGTTTCGGTTTAGCTGCATTATGGAAGATGCTATTAAAATCACTCTCTTCTATTCTTGGGGCACTGTAACACAAGTGTCTGCCTGTGCAGACAGTTCAGATGCTTCTCTGTCAGAGCTTCGCACTCACAGAAGTGTTTAGAAGCTGCTTTTAGAAAGTGTGCCTCTGCTGCTATAGTGTTCACGTACGCAACAAGGACGTGTTTCAGAGATACGGGAGTTTGCCAGGGTACAGACTGGCAGTTCAGTCTGCACACGTACGCCTGAACTCTGATTTTGCAAGAGAAAATCGACACGTCTTTTTCTTTCTTGTCATTTCAGATGGCCATATGGAAGCTGATCAAATATCCATGCATCTTTGACATGCAAGACAAGGTCAATGTTCACAATATAGAATGCAAAGTCCTGTCAAGGTCTTTAAGTAATGTAAGTGTGGCCAATTTTTTTTACAGTTTAGGAGAGAGAAACACACTGCTGCTAACACGCTGTTATTTCACTCTTCAGGTACCCTTCATGCTGATGGGCTGCACATGGTGGGTTTTTCCTATCAGAAGAGAGAGCCTTCTGCAAGACCTATGGACCCATTTAAATAACGCGGCAACACCGGAATTCAGGAACAGGTTAAAGGTAAGATAACAAATTGTATTCTTTGTTAGCTCTGGATGTATTGCTGCAGTGTTCTTTGGTTTTCAGTGTTACTGAAGTATCGGTAGATGGTTTCTAGTATTCAGTGAGCATACAACAAAACAACTACTCATCAAATTGTTATAAAACGTTCTATGGGGGATGGAGAGTAAATCTGGAGGGCAGTATTTTACATTCTTATTCCAGGTAGCAATCAAGCTTTGTTGGCATAAGTTAAATGCAAGTGGCAGTGGTACTTAGTGTGAGGTTGCTTTGGGTAATGCAATAGGATTACTCAGGAAACTGGTAATTGTCAAAGTCCATTACTGTTACTGCTAGACTGACTTTAAAGACTCTAGGCTAGTTTGCTGTACGTGGAAAAACCTGGTGGCTGGGGAGCCAGCATTAGAGACCAGCAAGCGACATAGCCACAAAAGCCATTTCTGTCATGGAGATGCTGCCTGAAGGGAAAGGAAGGATAGTGCCAGCAAGAGAGATGAAAAGCTGATTGTAATGCTGCTGTCTCCCTGTGGCTTTTAGTCTGTGGTTTCCACACAAACCCAAAGGTTCTGGCAGCCGTATTTTCTTCAGGTATCGCAACGCTAGCCCTGCCCTGCAAAAGCCATTAGATGGCTGACGTGGGAACAGGGCACCTGGCCAGAGCAGAGCTCAGCTCAGGGACCATGTGCCGCACCAGTCAGTGACACAAGGGCCGTCAGTCTGGCACCACGCCTGTGCAGCAGGAACTATCAACCTCAGTGCCCTATTACCCAGTTCTGATTCTTTCCAAGTGAGCCTTCTTGCCACCAGAGCCATCAAAGGTTTTCCTTCCTGTACACTTAAAGAGATTCGCAGTGGCTCCTAGAGCTACCTTTCCTTCCCCCTTCCTCACTACATCAGCTGAAAGAGGGATTTATTTACGCAGGCAATAAGACTTGTGCTCTGTACGGTCCTCTAGGTCTAGACTCTCTCTCCACTGATTGTACAAGCAGCCCCGACAAGCAGATAGATTCAGCCCGCAAATACACCTCTTGCGGGCACTGCCTGTCATACTGGCCATCGCAGCATTATTTGCCCAGCAGCAGCCTGATCAATTCGACTGCATTATTAGTATCCCTCCAAGAGACACTGAGGTCTGCAATATTTACAGCTTGGTGCTGCATTTCTGAATTTTTCAGCAGGTAAAGGACATTCGCGTGTTTGTGTTGCAGACAGAAACCACCCCGTAGCAAAACATAAGAAAGAAACCTTTGTAATAGATTATCGTAGCATTAGGCTGTCCCACTCATAGCTCTGTCCTGTTAAGACATTTTGTCAGACAGTATCAAGAACTTTGCATGTGACACCCTCGTGGTGGTCTGTCACTCCATCCTCTAGTGTTATTGTAAATGCAAACAGGGAAGGTTGAAGTATTTAGCAGAAGTATATTCTCTTCTCTCTCTACTGAGGAGATAGTGCTAAGGGTAAAGGTACTCTACATACTTAGACAGCATTTGTAGCTGCCAACTTGGTTACCTAATCCTGGGCCCAGTTGGAGTTATTTTTCCTCTAACTTGTCAGGAGATGCCTCTTGAACGAAGATGACCCAGCCTGGCTATCAAACTTGGGCACTCGGACACATTTAACAAATAGTACAGGGACATAAATCTCCTAAGCAGGAATATGCTGGAGGCCACTCTAACAAAATCCCTAAATGCCCACGTGCATCTTCTCTGCAGTGCTGTCATTTCCCCATCTTTTTCTTAAACAGAAAAAAAAAAAAAAAAAAGGCAAGCAAGCAGCTACCGGACATACAGATGTGGGTATCATCCAAGTAAAATGTCTTCATTTAATTCAAGTTTGGTTATTAAACATCAGTCTAATTTATTTTATGTTCTTCTGACAGTGAAACATCAGTTCAGAACAAATAAACAAACCAAAATCTCGTAATTCAAAGAGAGATTCATACTAGTGCATGTTATCATGGCTCATTATTTAAGATGTTATTCCAGCCTGGGTACAGTTCTTTCTCGTAAAAGCGATCACCACCTAGATTTTCATTAGTGCCACTACAAACACACACCACTCTTGAAGGGATACACTAGAAGTAATTAGTGCTTCTTGTTGTTCCTCCTCTTTATCTGCCTTAGCAGTAATTAAGTAACACGCTGCTGCAGAGGACTTTGTACAGTTGCAGGTATCACTGGAAAAATGACGACAGTCAGTAGTGCCAGAAGGGAACATCTCAAATCAACTGCGATACCTGATGAGATTAAATAAACTGCATTGCTTTACGGAAGCCCAGAGGTTAGCAAAGGCATTGCACTAGTTGTGCCTAAAAAGCTTAATCCCCATCCAGGTCCACAGGTGGAAGAATACATAAACCGGTATTGTAACAGGAAGGAGTAGACTGTAGAAACATAAACTGTTTGTGCTGGTGCAGCCCTGTGGGAAGGTTTCATCTACGCTGGCTGAGTAAAACAAGCCTGCTAGCGACAGGAGGGGAACAAGTACAGTCAGTGTGGGCAGGGAAGGGAGCATGCCTCCTCTGGCCATCGGCCCCAGTTTACCGCTGCGGCTGGTGGGTCCTCAAGGCTGCTTCGAGCCCTCAGCTGGGGGCTTCTTCTGAGTCGTCCTGGCAGCCTCTGGGATCATGTTCGGGATGCCATCGATGATGGGGTAGGCAATGCCCAGCTCCTCGTTAATGAGCTCGTTTGTAGCTTCTTCGTACCTGGCCAGGCAAGTCAGAGATTAACAAAACAAAACAAAAGGAGACGTGAATAATCGGGGTTTGCCCTTTGGCAGCCCCTCGGGGGCAGCAGCAGGCCAAGGGCGGGCAGCGAGAGCTGCTCTCCTACCCTGGAGGCCCCGGCCCCGGCCCCGGCCCC